ATATATATATATATACTTTGCTGGTTTTTGTGTTTCTCTAGAGAACCCAATCCAACACACATGGATACACATGAAGCAGTAGCCAAGAAATCAGATGTATTGCACTAGGAGCTCTGGTATCGTAGTGCCTAAGGCACTTAACTGCAAACCAGAAGGCTGGCGGGTCAATCCCACCAGCCACTCCTCGGAAGGAGGATGGGGAGAGGTAGCTATGAGTCTGGTCCGATTCCATGGTACATAACATCAACAACAACAACAACCACCTTGCACTAGGAAAATCTTCTGCAAAAGACCTATTTAAAGTGTCACCTTGAAGACTAAGGTGTGCCCCATCCAAGCCCTGGTCTTTTCAATAGCCTCATATGCATGTGAAAGCTGGACAACAGATAGAAAAGACTGAAGAAGAACTGAGGCATTTGAATTGAGGTGTTGGCAAAGAATTCAGGAAATACCAGGGCTGCTAGAAGAGCAAACAAATTTGTCTTGAAAGACAGCTGGAATGCTCCTTAGAAACAAGAATAGCCAGAACTTTATCTCATGTACTTTGGTCATGTTGTCATTAAAGAACTAGTCCCTGGAAAAGGGTATCATGTTTGGTAAAGCAGATGGTCAGCAAAAAAGGGAACAACCCTAAAGGAGGTAGACTGACATTATGGCTACAATGATAGGCTCATGCATAGCAATGATCGTGAGAATGGCACAGGGCTGGGCAGTAGTGTTTCCTTCTATAGGGTCACTGTGAGTTGGAATCAACTCAATAGTGCCTATCAATAAAAACTAAAATCTGAAGTAGAAAAGAATTCCAAAGGGTTACCTTAGGCATGTTCTGCTAGAAACTGTTTATTCTTGTTTGTTCTATTGATTTGGACTTATCCCCAACTACATGAACTAGAAAATGAAACAGCATATAAGAATTTCAATTCAAATTCTGCTTCTACCAATTGGTTCTGTAAACTTGGGTAAACACAACAGAGGTGAACTCTCACTCTTTATGTGTTAAAATTTATATAGTACTATCTATGCTGCCTACCTCCAAAATTGTTCACAGAGTTATTTAACATGCATTCAATAAACATTTATTATGCCAGACACTCTTCAAGAACCCATTTAGATATAGCAGGTGACTTACACTAACACAAGTCTTTGCCTGCAGAGAGCTTAAATGTCTGCACTGAGAATGAGGAAATAAAAAATGATTTTGAATAAAACAGGGAATATGAAAAGCAAACAGACAATGAAACGACAGAAAAGTGTGGTTGCCTTTGATGAGTCTCTGAACAAGTCATGTTTGAGCTAGGATCTGACTGACATGAGTAACCAAAACCAAACCAAACCTATTGCCATAGAGTTGATTCCAACTCATAGCAACACCTACTGGGTTTCAAAGGCAGTACATCTTTACCTAAGTAGATTGCCCCATCTTTCTTCCATGGAGTGGCTGGTAGGATTGAACTGCCAACCTTCTGGATAGCAGTCAAATGCCTTAAGCACTGTGCCACCAGAGCTATATAAATATCTTAAGAGTAACAGCTATATAAATATCCTGGAGCAACGATGTCTGAGTAAAGAGAAAGCAAAGGCCTAAGGGGTTGATGATCCTTACCATGTTCAAGGAGCTGAAAGAAGGCTGATGTAGAAATCTGGAGCAAGCATATGTGGTAAGTGATCTGATTATGTATTGTCTCGTAAGTCAAAGAGTGTGGACTGTATTTTCCAAGCAGCTTCTCAAAAGTTTTAAGAAGGCAGAGGTCGCAATGCCATGACAATAAGCCCTCTGTAGAGTCTAGATTGCATTGGGTTAAAAGTGGAGCAGGAGATCAACTGTATACTCTGTAATCCACATAAAGTATGATCACACTATGATGGACTACAGCAATATAGATGGAGAGAAGTGGACAAAGATGAGAAATATTCTGAAGACAGACTGGTGACAGACTGGAAGTGAGGGATAAAAGAAAAAAAAAAAAAAAGGAAACCAATATGACATCTCATTTTTTTAAGTTTTGGCCTGAACAATGGAGCAGACGCTGGAATCAGTTATTGACATGACAAGGACAAAGCAGAAAAGCAAAAATTTGTTTTGTCTGTTAAATCTGAGGTGACTACTGCATATCCAAAATGGAGATTTCAGGAATAATGATGACATTAATAGCAAACTCTAATAAACAGTACTGTGGCATACCAGTCAATATTTTAAGTGCTTATAAATAAATTATAACTCAATGCTAAATGAAAAAGCTAAAATAAAGAGCTTAAACAACTTGCTCAGGGTCACAAAGACCAAGTTGGGACTTCAAACCAACATCTAACTGCAAAGTCTATTCTGCTTACTAGATAATGACTCTAGAGTCAGAGGCAAGGTTGGATGGGAGACAGAAATCTGGGAGTCATCAGCCCGCAGGTGATACAGATGAGTGACAAGGAGGTAGATGAGAAAGCCAGAAGGAAGTGTAGACAGAGAAAAGGAAAAGCCTTAACCCAAAATAAATTCTGCAAAGGGGGAGAGCAAAGAAGGAACAAGAAATAGAAGCTATAATTAGCCTTTTCATCTGGTCTTTGCTCCAGAACCTCTCTCACACATCACTGGTACTCTCTTTCAGTAACTTAAATTATGTTCTTCTCCTGTCAACACTGCCTGCTATTCCAGGGCACTGCAAGAATCATAAACTATTCAATCCCAAATTGAGGACAATATTTGAGCTACATAAAGAACCAACTGGACCCACAGTGGAAAAAGGACTGAGGTTTTTTTCTGTTAGTCTTACACTCAGACTTTCTAAAAAAGCATCCACATGAGTGTCACTTTAAAGTTCTTCTGAATGTTAGGAAAAAAAAGATAATTTTCAGTACTGTTTATTCAAATATCCCCAATATTTTTATTCTTTTAACACTCCCTTGTTTCTAATGCTTCAGGTTATGAGATAAGGACTTAAAGAATCAGACAGTATTGGTACTTACTGCTATAAAAATACTGAATTTATGCTTTCACTCCAAATCACTTATTTCTATTACACACAATTAAACTGTTTCCCAACAGGCTTGCTTTATACAGATTTTATAGGAACATTTTAGGAACCTACCACTTGCATTTTTAACAAAGATCGAAGATGGTATTTTATTTAGGCCAAACCACACAAAACTGACAATTTCTGGACATCTTTGACCCACAAAAACTGCAACATCATATAGCTTAATCTGAAATAGTTTTACATTTTGTGAAGTCTCTTCTGGCCCTTCTAAAGGGCCTGACCTGAACTTTAAGCAATATATCCTTACTTTTAGAATTCATTATATGAAAAAAGGAAAGAAAAAGTATGACTTCTATCTAAGTGGATTAAAATTAGTGATGAATTTGAAAGAAAATAACTACAATTTAGCAAGCTGTTAATAAGTTATTTTATAACTACACAATTAACTTGGCAAAAGATTTGCATGCATGTTATTTTTAGGTTTTTCTGGTACTAGCATTCTTTCTCCCTATAATTAATGGAATAATGTCCTCTGAACAGAAAGTTATTTTAACCTACTTGATCAGATATGAAAATCTCTTCATATTCTCCATACATCATATTAAATTTTGGCAAATACCAATTTTCAAAACTTTTCAATTGTGTGCACATTCCCAAATAAAGCTTTTCTTTTTATATAAACTCTTATTATTTCTGGCTCATTTTTATAAATTGCTACCTGTAGTTGAAGATTTTTTCTTCTTTCCATTATACAACTTTCAAGTATATACAAAAGGGCAGTAATAATGAACACCCAAGACCTACCACACAGCTTCAACAATTATCAACTCACAGTCAAATCTTATTTCAATGTTTCTTTATCAATATGTCTCTAGCGCCCAGTAAGCTGACTTCTTGAAATACTTATGCTTGTTTCTTCTCACTCTCTGGCCTCTACTCCTTAGCCCCCCACTTTACTAATCTGCCTTATCTCTCTTCTCTGTCTACATTCTCTCCCTAAGAGGTCTCATCCCTTTTCAGAGCTTAAAATGCCCTGAAAGCTTTATTTACCTGATATTTGCAAGCTATTCAACTCAAATATAGCCAAAATAAATACCTGATTTCCCTATATTTAATTCCCAACTATTCCATCCCCCAACAGTAAGTGGGTACCATCATTCAGCTAGTGGCTTATGGAAAAAACTTTTTATTCCTCTTGTTCCTCACCTCTACCCTCTCAAACCTTATCTACTAGTTCTGTTCTATTTATACCCTTATGTTGAATGTTAACTACTTGTCTACCTTCAAACAACTCTATGTACACAAACATCTATTCCTCCTTGACTATAAAAAACAAAACAAACAAAACACCTCCTAGCTGGCCTCCTTGCTTCCCCTTTTGCCTTATGATATAAGCCATCCGTTACAACCCAGCTAATGGGCTTCAACAACTAGGACATTTATTCTTTGGTCTTGTAATGACTAACGTCTTTCCAGCCTAAAGACTTCTGCATTGGCCATCTCCCTTAACAGAAAACTCTGTCACCCAATCTTGACATCATAATAGAAATGCTATTTCAGTAGGAAGGTTTTCTTTAACAATATGTCTGAAATAGATACACTTCCCCACAAATAGTGACTAACACATCACAAACTATAATTAATAAATTCCTTTTCTGTTTGCCCTGCCCATTCTTTTCATATTTCCATGAAGGTACCTAACAGTGTCTGGTATAAAGTGCAGCCTTTTTTATAAAAAAAAAAAAAGTTGAGTAGATCCACTGACTATGTTACTGCTTATTTACTTAATTCTTCATAATTATACAGGGCATCAAATTCTAAGTGTATATGTTGAAAACCACACATCACAGTTCAATCAGAAAAAAACAACAACTACTTACGGAGTCCCACTGAATCTGGTTTGCCATTATCATTCTTACTTGGCTGCACAAGTGGAGCAAATGACACAGCAAGAATGTTTTTACTTTCCCAAGTGTTTTGTCCAGTTCGCATTATTTGTGTTAACTATTTAGAGAGAAAAAAAGGAACAGAACAGCTTAATCCTAAAAATGAGATGACCTTTTAGTCACAATTTTATTTTAAAACAGTAATTGCCAGAGAGCTTCAGAATCACTTATATTTGACAGCAACAAATTACTTCCATTTAAGTATTTACTATAAAATAATACAGATGGAATTCAATGTTCAAGACAGATATTCCAATGTAACTGAGATGCCTAAATATGGCCAAGTAACTCTGCATGCTAGATTTGGGTTATTATATTATCTAGGTTACCACTCCAATCCATACTTGTCCTTGGCTTTCAAAAGATATGTCTAAGATGGGTTAAGTTTTTTGGGTAAAACATTATATTAATAAAACCATGTTTTGTGACTCCTACACCAATGAGTCAGCTCAATGCTCTTCCATAATGGCGATGAAATACACATTCTAACTCCATGGTGGCATTCACAAATAAATGCTATTACTCACAAAGGGATTAACAAAGAGTTTTAGCTACTCACCAAAGATTCTTTATGGGTCCTACAGGAAAGTATCAGCTTAGTATTTGGCCTGTTTAAGGTGAGCTTAGTGTTTAGCCTATTCAAGGTGAATTAGTATCTTCAACATACATTATAAAAAGCTCACAATTACTATATTTTATGTTTGTATGTTGTTGTTAGATGCCATCCAGCCAACTCTGACCCACAGTATCCATATGCGTAACAATAAAATGCAGCACAGCCCTGTGCCATCTTCACAATCATTGCTATGTTTGAGCCAATTGTTGAAACCACTTTGTCAATTCATCTTGTTAAGGGTTTTCCTCCTTTTCGCTGACCCTCTACTTTACCAAGCATGTTGACCTCCAAGAACTCTTCCTCCTGATAACATGTCCAACACCACAAACTGATTGTTTCAATTCTTCCTTAGTCTTCCAATTTCATTGTTCAGCTTTTGCATACATATGAGGCCAATGAAAATATGATGGTTTGGGTCAGGTATAACTTAGTCCTCCAAGGGACATCTTTGCTTTTTACCATTTGAGGTCTACTGCAGCAGATTTGTCCAATGTAGTATGTTGTTTGATTTCTTGACTGCTGATTCCATGGGCATTGATAGTGAACCCAATTAAAATGAAATCCCTGACAACATCAATTTCTTCACCATTTATCATGATGTTGTTTACTGGTCCAGTTGTAAGGATTTTTATTTTACGTTAAGATGTGATCCATATCAATGTCTTTGAACTTCAACAATAAGTACTTCAAGTTTCCTTCAATTCAGCAAGCCAAGTTGTGTTATATGCATATCACAGGTTGTTAATGAGTCTTCCTCCAATCCTGAGGCCGTGTTGTTCTTCTTCATGTAGTCCAGTTTTGTGGATTATCTGATCAGCATACAGATTAAGGAAGTATGGTGAAAGGCTAGATACCACACTGAAAAACGGCATTCTTGATTTTAAACCATACAGCATCCCCTAGTTCTGTTCTAACAACTGCTTCTTGATCTGCAAGTTCTACTTGAACACAATTAGATTTTCTAGAATGTGAATTGTTCACAATGTTACTACATAATTTGTTATGATCCACACAGGCGAATACCTCTGTATAGTCAGTAACACACAGGCAAACATCTCTCACGTTCTACATACTCTAAATCCAGCTTGAATTTCTGGTAGTTCCCTGTTCATTTTTTAAGTCTTCAGCTAAAATTTTGCTTGCATATGATATTGGTCAGTAATCTCCACATTCTACTGCATCGCTTTTCTCTGGAATGAGCATGAATACAGATCTCTTCTAGTTGGTTGGCCAGGTAGATATCTTCCAAATTTCTTGGCATAAACAAGTAAGCACTTCTAGCATTGCAACATCTCAATACTATTAGTACTCCATTAATTCCTAAAGCTTTATTTTTCACCCATCCTTTCTGCAGCTTGGATTACTTTCTTCAGTACTACTGTTTCTTGTTCATATGCTATGTCCTAAAATGGTTCAACATCCACTAATTCTGTTTGATACTGTGTATTTCTTCTATCTTCTTTTGACAATTCCTGTGTCATTCTATACTGAACCCATAGAATCCGTCAATACTACAACTCAAGGCTGGAATTTTTTCTTCAGTTCATTCAGCTTGAGAAATGCTGAGTGTGTTCTTCCCTTTTGGTTTTTTTACTTGAGGTCTTTGCACATTTTGTTATAATACTTTACCTGTTTTTTTAAGTTGTCCTTTGAAATCTTCCATTCAGCTCTTTTACTTCATCATTTCTTCTGCTCATTTTAGCTACTCTGCACTCAAGAGCAAGATTCAGTCTCTTTTGATATCCACGTTGGTCATTTCTTTCTTTCCTGTGTTTCTAATGGCTTTTATTTTCTTCAAGTATGTCCTTGATGTCATACACAACTCTTCTTCTCTTTGATCATCAGTGTTCTGTGCATTATATGTATTTTGAGATGGTCTCTAAATTCAGAGGGAATGCACTCAAGGTCACACTTTGTCTCTTGTGGACTTGTTTTAATTTTCTTCAGCTTCTACTTCAATTTGTATATAAGCAATTGATGGCCGAGTCCATACTAAGGCTCTAGCCTTGTCCTGACTGATGAGATTCAGCTTTTTCACTGTCCCTTTCTACAGATGTAGTCGACTTGATTCCTATGTATACCATCTGATGATGTTTGTATAGTAGTATATAATAAATGTTTAGTAAAATACCAATGAGAAGTCATATTTTAAGTCTTTGAAAATGTATCTATAAAGGAAAATAGTCTAAATGGTAGAAGAAGTCAAGTTACAAAATTTGTTCAGGAATTTTTTTTAAACGAATGTTTTTTAATGAATATTTTCATATTATGGCTATCATAGCTTGCAATATGCCACAAAGTATTGGTGAGATCTCCTAAACTACAAATGTTAAGTTGTGATGTTAAGGGATCCGCAGGATATATAAACTCCGAACCATTATGTAGCTCCCAGTCATTTTAGTCACCTATTTTTAACTTAAGGGGCTCTGAAGGTGCAGTGCTTAAAGCATTTGGCTGCTAATTAAAAGGTCGGTGATGTGAACCCACCAGCCACTCTGTAGGAGAAAGATGACGCAGTTTGATTCCATAAAGATTTACAGTCTTGAAAACCCTAGGCAGCAGTCCATATAGGGTCACTATGAATCAGTAATGACTCAATGGCAATGGGTTTGGTTTTGGTTTTTATCTTCACCCTACAAGGTGAAAAATGTTTCAAACATCTCAGATACAGATTACTGAAATTACTAAAGATCTAATTTCTTTGAAATGCATTTTTATAAATTTTTGAAGTCATTTGCTTTTAAAAAGTCAACCCACATTCTGAATAAATTTGTCTTTCATACATTTATTATGCCTAATGAATTCCAAACTAAAGGCAGGCAAAAACATAAACTGAATAATGCTGATACATGGCTACAAAATATTTTCAAATGAGTCTATATAGTTTTAAAATTAAAAGAAGATTTAAATATTCTCTTTTCTTAAAAAAGAAAATATTACTATTAAGCATTTCAAACCAAACCAAAGATGATATTTCTTTTGATACATTTAAAGAGCTAAAAGATGTTGGAAACTGAGCAACTGTTAGAGATCATGGCATTCTACTCAACACCTCCAAGTGGGAAACCACAGAAGGAGCTGCTGGTCCAATTCACACAGGGAATAGCTAAGCTCTGCAAGAAGCCCAAGTCTCCTTTAATCACATCGCAAGAGTTCCTTTTATATTGGTTTGGGTAAATAACTAACCATGAATTTTAAGTTTTTCTATGCAGACAGAAGAGTATCACTTTTTTACAAATTACAATGTACCTTTCACTGACATAACATTCTCCCACTCTTAGATAAAAATTAAAAAAAGCAAAAATAAAATCCAGAGAGTTCGGTAAGATGCGGACTAGGCAGAAAGACTGCACAGACCCCCTCTTCAACAAAGAAAAGAGAAATCAATTAACACAGACACAGAAGATAACCCTGGACCCCTGAGCCTTGAAGAAGGATAAAGAAGTGGACGAAACCCCAACTAGCAGAAGAATTTGCATGAACATACCAAAAAAGGTGACAGACGGAGCAATCCTGAGCGATCCTGACAGCACAGCACAGACAGCTGGGAGATTCCCAAGGGGTGGTAGGACCTAAGAATTAACCTAAAAATCAGCCCTGCTAGCCAGGGACTGCACGGAGCACTGCTCTGGTGGCTGGGGAATAAATGGACAAAGTGAAGAGAAAGGAGGGCTGAGCTGTGGACTTTTGTATGTCCAGAGGGTGCCGCGATTTTGAATGATCACAAGTGGCTTGACCATTTTGGATATTTAAGGAGCCAATGCTCTCTGAGATTCCAGAGGCTTAAGAAGAGGTTCTGCTTTACAGAAACCGCAAGGACACTCTGGACCTGCACGACTGAAAAGGTGCAATATTCCTCGTTACTCTTATACCCTACACCCGCTTGGTGAATGGACGTGCAGCCATTCCCCACTCCCATCCACCTTCTGAGGCCACAGGAACTCCATCAGAGTCTGTGTGCTTAGACGGAGCCTGGGTGCCCTGCCCTGTCTTCCACCAATCTTTTTTTTTTTCCTTTTTCGTTTTCTTTTTTCTGGTCATTCATTTGCTTGTATTTGTATTTTTAAAACAACTGTTATTATAAATACTTTTGTCCTTTTTACTATTATTCTTATTCTTCCCCTCCCAGGTCCTAGTTTTCAGCTTTTTTTCTTTTCCCTGCTCCTGGTTGAATTTTTTTTTTTTTTTTTTTTTTACTTTCTTTTACTTTTCTATTTTTCCCCTTTTCTCTCGTAGTTAAAGCAGTTCCTTATTTTTCTTTTTCCATTTTTCCCATTTTTTTCTTCATTATTTTCCTTCTCTATCTTTTTTCTCTTAGTGTGCTATCCCCAGATATTGCAGGTTCTGTTGTTTTTCCTTCTTCTTTTTCCCTTTTTTCTTTTTCTGGTTACTGTTCCTGTGTGATTACATGGTGTGTTTTTTGTCCAAGTGATTCTACTTTT